ATAGCAGCTGAAGCTAAAGGACCAGAAACAGCAGCTAAAGCTAAAGGACCAACAACTCCAGCTAAAGCTAAAGGTCCACCAGCAGCAGCTAAAGCTAAAGGACCAACAGTAGCTAAAGCTAATGGACCAACAACAGCAGCTAAAAGACCAACAGTAGCTAAAGCTAATGGACCAACAACAGCAGCTAAAGGACCAACAATAGCAGCTAAAGCTAAAGGACCAACAACATTAGCTAAAGGATCAGAAACAGCAGCTAGTGCTAAAGGACCAACAACAGCAGCTAAAGCTAAGGGACCAGAAACAGAAGCTAAAACCAAAGGACGAGAAACAGCAGCTAAGTGCTAAAGGACCAACAACTGGACTTTGTCCAGCTGGAAACCACACAAACACCAGAAGCTAGTTCATGTGTCTGCATATTAAGAAATGTTAGCTGGGTTTTAGCTGTTTGTGTGATCTGTGTCAGACAGAAACCTGATGAGGACCGTCTCTGTGGTGGACTCAGGTCCAAAATGGCCGAAGCATCCACAGATCCAAACAGTTACGTAGCAGCTCTGACTCCTGCTGCATAGTTAGGAATGTAAAGCCCCCCCGATCCCCCCCCCCCTCCCCCCCGATCCCTCCATCCATCAGCAAGCAGAGAAGATAAAGCCCATCTCTCCTGGAGACGCTCGGGGGGCCGGGCCTAAATTAGCCCCCCCGTTTGTCACCAAGCAGAGGCTCTGAAAACCAGCCCCAGTCTTACAGATAATTATTAAAGATTTAAAGCTGACGGCAGCAACACGTGATAACCTGCTCACCCTCTACGACCACACACACACACACACACACTCTCACACACACACACACACTCTCACACACACACACACAAACACACACACACACGTACGTGTTTTCATTATATATAAGGACATAAAACGGAAATAGTACAAATGGGTACGTGCCTTTCCAAAGGTTCTACAGGTCTGAGAATCCCAGAGTTTCCTATCTATGCATTCAGGATAGCTAACATCTATTGAGATTTTAGCTAGAACAACATTTTGATCACATCACATTCTCTACTCTGTAAGTGCTAAATGCATAAACATAAACATCAGATTTTTATGCGACATATAGGGACATTATCTGGTTTATATAACTTATGAGGACTATAACCTGCCTTTCCAAAGGTTCCACAGGTCTGAGAATCCCAGAGTTTCCAATCCATGCATTCAGGAAAATATCCATCTATTAAGATTTAGCTAGAACAAACTTTTGATCACATCAGATTTTTATGTGACATATAGGGACATTATCTGGTTTATATAACTTATGAGGAACATAACCTCTCACACAGGTATTTCATGTCAAAGTGAATTGTCAGGCCCAGAGAAACACACAATCTTTACACACACACATACGTGTTTTCATTATATATAAGGACATACAACGGAAATAGTACAAATGGGAACGTGCCTTTCCAAAGGTTCTACAGGTCTGAAAATCCCAGGAAAGCATTCATTTATTAAGATTTTTGCTAGAACAACATTTTGATCACGTCTGATTTTAAGCTGACGGGACATGATAACCTCCTCATCCTCTCAATCCACACACACACACAATCTATACACACACACAATCTATACACACACACACAATCTATACACATACACACACTTATGTGTTTTCAGTATATATAAGGACATAAGATCGTAATAGTACAAATGGGGACGTGTCTTTCTAAAGGTTCCACAGGTCTGAGAATCCCAGAGTTCCCTATCCATGCATTCAGGAAAACATCCATCTATTGAGATTTTAGCTAGAACAACATTTTGCTCACACACACACACACACACACACACACACACACACACACACACTCACACACACACCTCTGCGCCCCAGTCCTCTCCGGGGGGAACGGGCCCTGGACCGTGTCCTAATGGAGCCGGACATGAGTGAATATGCAGGTTTCTCCGCTTTTCCGTCTCAACAACAACAAACCAGACCACGGGCCGGACAGCAGAGGTGACTTATTCATAGTTACCATGTGGGTGTGTGTGTGTGTGTGGGGGTGTGTGTGGGCATACTGTTGTTTTTGGT